ATGTACTAAGGTTAAGTAACTTGACCTTAGTAAATTTTTACCTTGGTAAAAGCTCAAATGTAAACACAGCCTCAGTTTGCTCAAGTTTGCTCAAGAATGCGTCCAAGTTATCTCAAAGTCACACAATCGTGTGATCACGCTCGCGATCGAAGTCAGCTGTATTGAGCTGAGTATCGATCCCGCTCTGATGCAATGTGTTTGCATGTTGCAATCAAATTAAAACTCAGGTTTTGTTCTGGTAAACAGGTACGCAACACGTAAAGAACTTGCTGGTAAACAGCTACGCAACACAAAGAGAATTTGTTCGTAAACAGCTACGCCATGGTCTTAGGGAGCGACCTTTGAACTTTCAGGGGTTAATAAGAGAAGGGTGGGTGATTCGAGTTGAGTATGAATTTTATTATTTTGGACCCTGAACGCTCAAGATTTGTCTTTTTCAGCCTTTTATGATTTTATTTTCTGGTTATGTTAGTACCGTATTATTTTTTGTCTATAAGCAGCTTGGACACATTTTTTCGCCACAATTACCCCACCCTACCCCCTAAACCTTTTTGCATAGCTTCAACAGCCATCCAGCCATCCAGCGTGCCTGAGGACCACCTCGCTTCTCAGTTACATAGGTGGGACATTAGCATGTCCTCTTTAAAATGAATGTCACACACGAGTTCAAATAACTAAAACACAACACGTACATTTCACGAGGGTTCCCCATAAGTTTGGCGGGATGCGGAATTTGGCTTTTTTTCGCCGTGATATTTGGGATTTGAGCTAAAACAGGGGCGGGAAGCGGGAATTACAATTACAAGCTGGAGCGGGATTTCGTGTTTTTATAAGGTTGGGAAGCGGGATTCGTGAGGGGAACAGAGTGGGATTTACGTGACCTCATAAATTTTTATTGACCAGCGCAAAAACCACAAGCTGGCAGAAACGAACCTTTTGTGCGTATAGCTGTGTTAGGTTTCAAGTAATGAATAGCAACGGCTCTGTGCCCTGTCAGGGTCTGTCAAACGTATCCATTATCGCTTGACTACGTTAGCATCATGAGACTGTATGAGGTCTTTGAGTCCTATTCCTACTGATTGCGATCATTTGTGTTGACCCCCGACATCAATGACATCTGTCCATTTCCGACATTTTCGACGCTTGCTTCTGTAATCTTGTTCCCCCCGCCCTCCCTGATCCTTCCTATTCTTTCTAGTCTTAGTTTCGACCTTTTCCAGAGCAATTGTCTCGTTTTGTTTATCACCAGATGACGGTGATAGTGATTTACCGTACAAAGTATGCAACATTACGAATTGCACGCCATATAAACGAAAAGGATGCGCGAACAGGAATGCCTTCATTCGGAAAGAAAAGTTCTGAGCCCAGATTTCAGGGAAAGTAAAGACGCTGAAAGCTTTGAAAGAAACTATCAAGTGTATTTACGGACCATCTCTTAAATATGGGAATGAATAATCTGTTTCTTTCACTGATACCTGGACAAAAGAAAACAAAACAGTATAAACCGTTTACGGAAAGAAACGTTTTAAACATTTGTGCTTAGTTATCTGCTAGCCATTGAATTCTTTTGTGATCTTTTAGACGATATCTATTTTAAGAATTTTCTGTGTTAATAATTAAATTAATTATTAATTTAACAAATAAATAATTAACGCAGAAACGTCCCTGAAAAGTGGGCGGGATCGGGATTTCCAGGCAAACAAGGGCGGGATGGCGGGATTAACAGAAAAAATTGGGCGGGAAAGTGGGATCTGAGAACCTTATTGTGGACCCTCTTTCACCTTTCTGGATCGCAACATCGCTCAAAACGTTGTTGAGTACCAATGTTGTTTATTTTTAATCCAGCTGATAATGGTCCTCGTGGCCACCATTATTATCTGCACTGATTTTAATTATTCCTATTTTCTTAGCTGTTTCTCAAATCCAAGTGTTAACTGGCTTCTACATTCGCATGAAAAAGCGCCTCTCCCCCAACCCTGACTCTTTCGCTTATTTCTATGATTACTTTATATTGCCATTGTTATCTACTACTGCCTGGGCTAAAGGTCGTTCTTCCACAAGCCTATTTTTGAGAATCTAACCTAACTTTTTTAGCACACATGATGTATCTCCGTAGGTCTTCTGAAATTTTTCCCGGGTTTCTTGTTGTTCCTTCTTTGCTAAGGTCTGTTTTAAAAGAGTTCATAGAATTGCTAAGTTCTAACCGTCTTTATTTATAACTAGAGGGCTTTGCTTCGATAATTTTATTTCAGTATAAATTTTGTATAACCGAGACTTTTGAGCCGCTCTGAGCTACTTGTGTAATACGTACCTGAACGGTAGATGAAACATCATGCAGTTGTCCAAACGTTTGGCTTCTCAGGGACGAAAACCTGCACAAAATTTGGGTGGGATAACGGAGGAAACTACCCAGGTTTAGTACATAAGTTATCTACACATCTAGCTGTAATTTGTAATTCCCTTACCGTCATTCGGTTTGTAGACCGCACATTTCTTTATCAGCTGCTTGCTCTTCCTTGTCATGCTCATGGGTGGGTAAAAATTTAGATGTAAATCACTTTCAGCTCACATCTTTTCTCCTATATTGATCAAAAAAGGAAAAAGTGTTTGCAATCTATTTTCCTCACCACTTAGTCTCTTATTAAGATTAATGTATTCATGTGCTTTTCAAAACATATCTGCAGCTGGATTGACCCTTCATTGCATTCTTTTCAGTTGAAACCAGTTTTACCAGCAGTCCCAGCAGTCCCAGTGGTGACCAGACTGTCAATGAAGGTTCAAATCTGACTTTGTTTTGTGACGCAAGTGGTAAACCAACTCCAAATGTGAGTTGGAGTAGAGTATTAAAGAACGGTACAGATGGTGATGTAGTGTTCTTTGGAAACCCTTGGGTCATTCTAAACATCAGCAGAACTGGCACTGGAACATACCGCTGTACAGCTTACAATGGAATTGGAAATCCCGCGAACCATTCGCTTTATGTCAATG